AACTCACTCACAAACACGCAGACGCACGCCCACACACACACACACACACACACACACACAATGGCTGGCATGCTGGCCGAGGAGACGCTGACACCCATATTGCTATAAATCAAGAAAAAGGTTAGAGAGAGAGAGAGAGAGAGGGATATTCCTAAAATCTCTATGCAATGCCTCAATGGGTGTACACACACAGAACACCGTGTGAAGAGAAATGGCAGGAAATGAAGATGGCTATTTGTCACATTTTACGACAATAACATTAATAACAAACAATAAATTTACATGGACATATAAGACGCGGTAGGTAGTGAGAAATCCCTTCTACTTACAATACCCCAGCCCGCGGTGTGGCTCCAGCTGCGGGGCTCTTTTATTGCTGTCTCCCTTTCTTTTTCTCTCTGTCTCTCTCTTTCTCTCTCTCTCTGTCTCTCTCCCCCTCTGTCTCCCCCTCTTTTTTTCTCGGGGTACAGGCTTGTTTTTCAAAGGACAGTTGAATTGCACGTCAGAAACAGGGAGACCGAGCCCGTGATTTTCCTGACGAATACATATCTATTCTGCAACCTCGGCATTAATTATTTAATGAATCACGTGACCGGGAGGGGGAAGGGGGTCTTTCGATTTCAGGCTCGAAGGACCACTATGACCTTCCCCTTCAGGAGGAGAAATTTTCTTGCAAAATAGGTTCCCCCCAGCCCGCCAATGGAATGGGAGCGGGGTCTCCTCTCTCCCACCAGCGCACCTCTGCCTCTGCGTCCAGCTCCCTGCCCCCAGACACGCACTTACCCACAGCCCACCTCGCTCCTCTCCCTGCTCCTCCTCCTTCTGCTTAGTTCTGGAGGTGCAGAAATAGTCTGCAGGGGTGGGTGGGGGTGGGGTGGGCGCCGAGCCCTTCTCCAAGCCCCTGGGCTCCTCGCCTCCGGTCCTCCTGCCCGGACCGTTAGGATTAAGATTCCCTTGCAGCTCTCCCCTCCCGCTCTGGGGCATTTATTTCAGTGGGATGCTCTCCCCCCACCCCGCCCGCTTCCAAAATAACCAACAAGGTTTCTAACGGGACGGCTGGAAAAAGCAACACTTCCTAAGTGCTTTCTTCGCAGGGGTCCAGACTGGGCCTTTGGACTGCAGCTCTCTTTGTGAGCTTTTGTGGGAGAAGAGGAGAGGGGCTGGGTGAGGAAGACTCCAGAGTTGAGTGTAGCCGCCAGGGGGAATGGGTTCCCTGTGTCTGGTGGCCCTAGGAAGCTACACGCTACTGAGTCTCTGGGCAGAGGCTCTACAGACAAAGACCCTGGCGAAGGTTTCTACACAAAAGGAGTGGACACCCAGCCTCTCTCCACCAGATCGCACCCTTGCTCCGCCCCACCCGCCCGCTCTGAAGCAGCCGGGCCTCCAGCCCGGATCCCCATTTCCCAGGTTTCTTAGCACCCTGGGCTTCTAAGCAGCACCGATAGAGACCCCCAGTGTGTGTGGGTGCGTGTTACAGAGTCAAACGCCACCCTGTGAGAGAAGCCACCCGCAGGCCTGCGCGAGAGACACCCACAGACTCCTCCACCTCAGAGATAAACCAAACCAGAAATCCCCCAAACTTCACAAGTTCCAATCAGAATCACAGTCAGTCCTTGGCTGGGGCACAGACAGCGGCAGAGGGCAAAGGGAAGCCGGAAGAGACATTCCTCAGAAGCCCGGCCCCACATTCCGGCTTATCTGGCTTCGGCAGTTCTGCGGCCCAAGGACTGGGGGACCAGGGCAGAACAGATGAGCCGGGGTGGGGTTGTGGGGCTGGGGGCTTCCCCGGGTTGAGGTCTGAACCAAAAATGACTCTGTAGGGGGAACGTTAAAGACCTTGTCACCAATCAACCTCAAAGAAAGAGCCGCAAAGTGTTGCTGCCTTAAGAAACCCCAAAGAAACAGCAGCCCCCTGGAAGGTCTGGTTGCCTCGCTGGAATCCTGCCCCTCCCCACGGGGAGGGGGCGCCAGACTCTGGGGGGTGGGGTGGTCAGTTTTGATTGTCCAGATACAAAACCACAGACTGGTATTGAATTCGGCTCCATCCCAATCACAGGCCCTGCTCAGGCTCTGGCTCTGGTTAAGACAACTGCCTGAAAGGTACTGGTGCCCCAAAGACAAACACAAAAGTCCACAAGAAGAAAGAAAAGAAAAGAAAAGAAAAGAAAAGAAAAGAAAAGAAAAGAAAAGAATATAACCGTACTGTACACCTAAAATGTGCCAATAAACTCAAAGAGAAAAAAGAAAGAAAACAACAAATGTGTGTGAGAAAATAAGTAGGAGCAGGGGAAGAGGGTCATCTTCAAAACCGAGGTTCTTTTGAAGGACAAGAGAAAGCACAGTGAGGGGAAGTCACGCCAGGCAGGTTCTGCTAAAAACGCCCCCACTGTCTCCCTCCTTTCGGGTCCTGGGAATGTCCACGTTCAAATAAACAAGTGCCTGAGCGAGAGAGAGCTGAGCGCTTTTCTTGCTGCCGATGAAGCGAGCGTTTAGACTGTGAGAAAGGGGAGATTGATTTACGAATCTGAACGCACGGGTTTTATGGCCGATCACAAATCCGTCAGCGCTCAGCTCACGCTGGGAAACTTCCCAACTTGGTTTTCCAACCAGACCCCCTCTTCCCGGGGAGACCCACCGCCGGTGCTGGGCTCCCCTCTGCCCAGGCTGGCAGGCAGGTGGCAGGCTCTGGAAGGCATCGGGGAGGGCCCAGGGAGCTGGGGGGCAGACAGGTCACAAGATGGAGAGGCCCATCTCCTGGGGCGGGCGCTGGGACCGTAGAAAGTGCGCCCAGGCAGCTGTCACCTCTCAAAAAGGTTAGGGTCTTGGAGTAAAGGAAAGGAAAGATGTGTTTGGGCCTAGGGGGGCTGAAACCCTTGTGGACCCCAGCTTTCCCCTCTGTTATCTCCCCCCCACCCTGACCCCGACCCCTTCACTTCCTCCTGCTGAACCCCCTAATCTACACATTGTAGAAAGCAGTTTGTAAAGTCCCCGGGCCCACAGTACCTATCTGCTTTCCTAGATGAGTAGAGGCCTTCCCTGGGCCCCAGTATTTTCAGGGATGGGTCAGTGTGCCTTTCTGTTTACCCCTTTCCGACCGGAGGGTTCCAGCCCCTCCGTGTTTGCCACCCAGGGACAAAATAAAAGAAGATACCTATCGCTCCAGTTACTTCTTAGCTCAAGGGGAGCAGTTCCTCTCCTCAGCCAGAATCGGGTTCTCTCCCTTGCTCCTGAGAGCACGCCCTGCGGGTGTGTGGATTTTTAAGCAGCAGCAAACACAATACACATCTGGGAAGGCCCTCCATACCTGGTTGCCCTCTTAGCAGATCTGCCCCCCAACTCTTCACATTCAAGTTTCCCAAAACTTTGGTTGGCCAGGCAGACCTGGCCCCAGGAGGGGTAAGAGAAGCCTGCACCGCACCCCTGGTCTGTCTTGCTGCTGGGGAGTAGGCGAGACACCTCAAGGACTCAAGAGCACTTGGGAACAGAGGAAGAGGATAAAGATGATAATAGAGATGATAATAGAAATCATTGCTTTCTAAACACAGGGACCTCAGACATGGAGCCCAGAGTCCCCCCGATTTGGATATGGGGAAGGGAGGACACCAAAGGAAGATTCCTTCCTGGGGGGAGCCCCAGCCTTACAACACAGCCTATGGGCTTGTTCCTCTGCCCTCCGCAGCCGGTGCATTGAGCCTGGCCAAGTCTTTATATTGTATCCATAACCCTTTGTCTTTCTTCCTTGAGCTCCCTCCTGGGGAAGCTGGAAAGGAGGCCTGAGCAGATCACAGGAAGGGGCGGGGGCTGGAGCCTGGTCTAGGGGAAGGACTGTGCACAGACAGGCCAGCACCCTGCTACCCCACACTACTAACACACTAGCACCTAAATATTCGACACCTGGGCCAGCAGTTTTATTCCTTTTCTCTTCCAAGAATGGTTATGGGGAAAATAATCCAGAAATTCAAGGCTAGCAAAGAAAGGAAGGTTTAGGGGGCTGGGGAGAAGAGCCGGAGATGCAACACACACAAGACAGCCTAGGGACCTCTCCCTGCAGAGGTGTGACTTTTCCCTCCCAGGCAGGAGGCAGGAGCCAGCACAATGTCCAGTCTCACAGGGGTCAAGGGGCTTCCCGAGGTCATTTTGCGGTTCTAATACTGAGCTAATCGCCTAGAAAACGTGGCCTCTCCATGAACCCTCTCTCCTGCCAGCCTCGCTAAGAGAGGCCTCAGGGAAAAAAGGGCCAGTGCATCAGGTCTGAGGCCACAGAGCCCAGGGACTCCAGCCTGCAGCGCCAGGCACCAGAGAAGGCAGCAGAGTCCCCAGGCAAGGAGAGCAGGGGAAACCAGAGTGAACACCGCACTTGCCTCCGGGAAAGGGGCCCAGCAGAAGAGCGGCCGGCGGAGCAGCGGAGTCGGCTCACCTGGCCGGTGAACTGAGCCCACTACAGGTTTGTCTCAAAGCTCGAGCTACACACAAGAAAGGAGAATGCCTGCATTTCTACCCAGCCCAAGGCTGGGCCCTTCCGCCCCGAGAACTGGATTCCAGTGTCCCGGGAGGGACATCTCGCTCTAAACAGCCAGAGAGGACACAGGCCGCCCAGTGTAGACAGTCAGAATCCCAGGAAAGCCCGGAACACACATGTACCTCGAGAGACACACAGGCACCCATGCTGACTGGCCCTGCCCAGCAGCCTGCCTTTTCCAAAACCAGAAAAGCGCTTCGAAGCCACCTCCCCGACAGCCTCCTCTGGGGTTTTCAGGGAGCTCTGACACCTCCGTCCCCACCAGTTCAAACGCTCTCCAGGTGTCAAGGCTCCGGCCACCTCTGACCCAAACATCCGTCATCATAAAAGCAGCAAATCTGACCAAGCGTCCACCATAAAAACCCTCCAAGATACTTGAAAAAGAAAAAAGAGGAGGCAAGAGAGTGTTCTGTCACTTGTGAAAAGAACTCATAAAACGATTAAAAAAAAAAAAAGCCAGCCCAGGCTGGGGCTTTGTTACCTTTTCTCCTCTGGCCTCCTCCTCTCGCCCCAACTCGGCCGGTCCCATTCATGATGAGCGGCTTCTTCCAAACTGAGAGAAAAAAGTTCTCAACTTTAGGGTTCCAAATTTTTTCCCCCTCGAAGATCCGGAGAGACGGCTAACACTTTTTTTCCCCAACAGCCGGTCTGCGGAGATTTGCTGTTGAATAATAACAAAGGAGAGAGGATACGTATTTAAAGAAAAGAAGTGATTAATGGTTTTCTGTATAATTCTCACATTTTTCTTAGCTCTTGTCTACACAGAATGGCTGTGAACTTTAAGCTCCATAGAAATCTTTTTTTAAAAATTCTATTCATACCTTCCAAGGAGCAGCTTTGATTTAGTTCTTTAGAGACATTCCTGGGGGGTGTTTGCTCTTTAAGAACTATTTTCCCCTCAACTAAAGGCCTTCACATCTCTGCAGCTAAAACATCATACCACGATGCCAATGAAACAAAACTCTCTCCTCAGCCTCCTCCAGGCCCCAGCGATTTTTTTTTCAAATGAGTCTCCAGGCTGCCTATAAACCCACAATTCAACCACCCTTTCCCCCGAGCTGGGGACACCAGGCCTGTCCTTGGCCCGGCTCTGCCTAGCCTCCCACCACCATGCTACAAACCAGAGGAATGCAAAATAAATAACAATAAAACATGTGCTTGAGATTGACTTTTTATTTTCTGAAGGATAAGACTCCCCCCACCAAAAAAAAAAAAAAGAAGAAGAACAACTTTTAATGGCATAGGCTCCCCAGAACACCAAGCTTTCTCGGTGGGGTGGCGGCATCACCCTGGACCACCACCCACCTCAGGACCTGGGACCGCAAGCCCTAGCCTGACCTTTGGATGTCTGAGCAGAGTGGCCCAAGCCTGACCAGGCTCTCTGAGGCTCAACAGCACCCCTTTCCCTTCCCCCATTCCATTGTGGGGTGACTGGGACCTCAGAGACAAAAAGCTATTTGGCCCCCAGTCTACTTTCCATACTTTCTATGAGAAAGAAAATGAAAATTAATACAGGAGCAGGGCTTCACAAAAGAGGCCATTTGTCTTCTTGATTATCTATTTGCTTGTCAGAGTTTGAGCTATGGCACCGGCTAGCTCTTTTGTAATATAAAAATACTCTGAAAACCCGCAAACACCCAGAAACATCTGTGCAAAAAATTAGACTCATTAAAGCCTTTAAACACCTCAGAGGAAAGCGATACCTTCTTAGGCAGGGAGGACAGAGGCCAGCCTCGAAGAATCCTCTCGCGCGCTCGAACTTTAATAACCAAAGAGCTGTTTGTCTAGGAGGAGACAGCTTAACCGCATTTTGTTTGCTTATGACAAATAAATCACGATATGAAAGGCTTTGCCATACTTAAGCCTCTTGTGTCCCACGATGAAACATTTTCCCCCACTAGGGATTGGAACAGCCCTCCCAGCCCTCCTGGTCCATTTTTGGACTGGAGGGGGAAAAAAATTAAAAGCCCCAAACAAAACACACCCATCCCCAAAAGGGATATAAACCAGCTTCCACCATTTGGAATCCTCTGAGATAGAAATTCCCATTGGATCTCTGGGCGGGGAGGACTTGCAACCACACATAAGGTGAAGCCAAACCCGCGAGGGAACTTAGCATATACCCTGGGTGGCAAATGTCCACATCTTTACATCAAGGAGGTTCCAACAAAAACACGGATGTGATGGCAGTCACAAGAAACCAAACATTTATTTCTATTGTCACTCGGTACAGGACACAAATTTTCACGCCAAGGAAAGGTTCTGGACTCTAGGCGGCCCCAGAGGGGTAGGAAGGCGCCTGATTAGGAATGTCAGAGAGAGAGGACAGGAGAAAGGACTCACATGACATAAAATAATAGGGATAATAATAATAATAATAATAATAATAATAATAATCAATGCACAATGATAAGCTAAGGGAGAGGACTCACACATTGGCCTTCCTGAGCCGGATGGCCACATTTTATTTCCGAGTTTCACATTCGTTCTCAGTCTGAGAGGCCTCTGCCTTACAACTCTGGATTGGCCAGAGGGTCCAGCTCAGCACCCCCACCCCTCACCAGCTGGCCCCTCGCCCTGCCAAGCATGGCTCCCTGCTTGGTTGTCTGGGTCTCTCTTTTGATCCTTGAACTCAGTTTCCCTGCCCGCTCCTGCGTTGTCAAGGCCGCCCCTCCCCCACGTGTCCCCATCCTCCATCTCCTGTCCACCCCTGGGTGGGAGCAGGGGCGAGCAGTTAGTCGTCCCCCGTGGACAGGCACGCAGGAGGAGCGAAGTCGTGTGCGTGTGTTTGTTACCGTGGCCACAACACCGGGCTATCTGGCGGTCATGGGTGCTTTCCTGGGTGTCAGGAGGGGGACAAAGAAAGAATATCCAGGCTGTCTTCAACCAGCAGCAGCGGTGGCAGCAGAGGCGGTGGCCTGGCCAGGCCTCATTTGTTAGGCGAGTGTCGAGGTAATGGTCGCCACCGAGGCCCGTCCTCTCCTCTTCTCGGCGGAGTAAACAAGACAGATGGGCCGGGCCTGGCGTGATTAAACGTGAAACGTGGATCCATCTTGGCCAAAGCTGCAAACAAGGAGCTGCACCCTATTTCTCTTTCTGTCTTTTTCTTTCTTCCTCCTTCCTTTTTTCTTTTTCTTTTTTTTTTTT